TACCATCAGCCCTACCAAAACTAAGCACCTGCCTGGGTATTTTGTACCATCCGGCACTCCACCCCCACAACTCCCAATTGGTGATGGGGCATTTGTGGAGAGAGTAGAGAGTTTCCCATACCTGGGCAGTGTGCTCATGACTGGCTCCGGTTTGACAGCAGAGGTCTCACTCCGAATCAGTCGAGCGGCATTATCTTTTCATCGTATGTGTAATGCTTTGGGGAAGCTACCTGGTCTGTCGCTCCACACGAAGCTTCAGCTTCACGGTCATTCCCTCCCTTTTCTACGCTTGCGAAACGTGGACCTCCCGAATGGTTCATCTTCGCCGGTTGGAAACATTTAGACTGGCCTGCCTACGATCCATCCTGGGTTTAACCAGGCTGGATTGTGTGAGGAGCTCACAAATCCTTGAAAGATCTGGACAAGGTCCCATCGGTGAGCTCCTCCGGCAGGCAAGGCTGCTTTGGCTGGTTCATGTAGCCCGCATGCCCAGTCAACCGCATGCCTAAACAGCTTTTGTTCGGCCGAATAGAGGGGGCTAAACGGGCGCGGCATGGGTTACAGAAGAGATGGAGTGATGTGGTACAGGAGGATGTGGAGCTGAGTGAATTTGCTGACGACTGATACCAGCGGTGTCAAGATCGGCCTCTGTGGAGGAGGCTCGTGAAGGACGCTACTGGGCATATGGAGGCAGTCGCCCTCCAACAACAACGGAGTGAGGAGGAGCGACGCTCACAACAACGAGCGGAGTACCGGGTGGCTAAAGCACAGCAAGTTGGTACAGTAGGGGGCAGAGGTGGTGCACCAGCCAGTCATCGCAGTCAGTCGACCCGTGGCACCTGGGTCTGCCCCGTGACCTCCCGTCAGCGGGCGTTCGACACTTCACGTGGCCTCAACGTGCACATGGTCTGGCACAAGCGTCGTGGTGACGTCACCGCCACTTAGTGGCGAATGGCGGTTGTTGTTGCCTCAAATGTGTCCACATTGAAGCTATTTCCTATCGCCATCGCCAAATCCTGCCATGCGAAAAAGAGAGAATGCAGGCTTCGTGCTCGCGAGCATCCATCTGCCTTCACGGTCCCCAGACGTGCCAATGATCTCCTCCCATGTGGCCACACGAAACAACACCCCAGCTCTTCTCGGTATTATTTTTAGACATTGGAATTATGCCATTCCTATTCGCAACAGTGACTCACTAATGCGTCATCTACGTGTATGCAAATTATATATACACCGTACTGTAATGTTGCAACTACGGTCACTTATTTGTGGGAACATTGTTTGGCCACTGAAGCCTCCGTTTCAATCAGTTTACATTCAAGATCACGCGTCTCAAGATCACATGTCCCAGGATCACATGTCTCCAGGACTCGAGCCGCTGATGCCACCACTGCACCTCCTCAACGCCGTCTGCCGCCTGTACCAGACTCAGAAGCGACTCCCTGCATAGTCGACACAGACACACAGACCTGTACGCTACTTGGCAGGGAGCTGCGGTGCAGTGGTTAGCGCACTGCCAATAACCCAGCGACCTGAATTCGATTCCTGGCCACGGCTAACATCAGCGGTGAGTGCTGTCTGAACCAATCCTGGACAACCTCTTCATAGACCCACACACACTACGATGGTGACGTATGGCCCAAAACCCACTTTACTGACAGTATGGGGAGGTCTTCATCCAGCGGTGGATTGAGTAAGGGCTTTATATTATTACTGTATAATAATGATGTTGTATTCCATAATGTACTTCATACGTATTTTGGTACAGGGCTCAGCTGCAGCCTGGCCATTCCCTTTAGTGAATGAGAATAGTAAAGACAGGTCTAGTGGATGGCCAATGGCTTCATCTGAAGTGGATAATGAAGGTAATTTGCCCTGTAAACTGCCCCGTAGTTTGCCTAAACAGGATGATGAGTGTCGCATTGTAAACTTGTTTGGCAGAACACGGGGGCAGGCAATTCGCTGCATTCCTCAGCGCTTAATCCACAGACTGGGATCTATTATATTGCTTCTCTAATCCCTTGGTGTCGCAATTACAGAACAACCGCATGAAGAGTCGTTTATGTTTAAAGTAACAAAGTGTACTTCTACCTCAGCAATACACAGTACGTATAGCAGTTAACGCCACAGACGCTGTAGTATAATTAAGGGCCACTTAGCACACTCCCATAATACAAAGGCAATTTGAACGGTCCCTGGATCGATGTGAGCGGCAGAGAGAAATCTGGACAGATGATTCAGAGCAGGCCTCGTGAGATCTGACCTGGTTGATGTTGGTAGAAGGGCGATTCAAATAACGTTGTTTTGTAAGAGAATACTTTGCGAGCTTGCGTCACGGCACAGGCATGTGTATATGCACACACTGTACTGTACAGGTATTGAAACCCTAACTCGAATAAAGTAAAATCGTCTTCATTGTCCACAAATATGAAAGTGCTGAATCCAAACAAGGAATTTTGCAGTGTATTTTGTAATGAGATGAGTTGGAAAGTTGGCTGATTTTTTTTTTTACATCTAGAAGAGCCTATTTTTATTCCACATAGAGCTTAGAAATGTGTGCTTGATTGACTGTTAAATGCTGGTTGACTGCCAAATGTCTAGAGGCAAATGTTCTCTTAAAAATGGGCCCTAGTTCGATGCAACGCTGTATAATACACAACATAACGATTATATTGTTACCTTATTATCGCTCTAAAGTAAATAAAGTTAATACATTGGTCAATTACACTGTGGCCTTAAAACGAGAAATACATTATGGGCAACGTTTCGGGCAATGGTCCTTCTTCATAGTACATATTTTTACGTGCCATGAAAAATGTTGATTGCCCGAAACATCGATCACTATATATTTTTTTCTCTTTAAGGCCATTGCTAATGGAGTGGAAGATGGCAGCCTTCACGCGGCTCACTCTGTTAAGTGAGAAATAAGGACGAATGCCATCAGCGCGGCGACCGAACATCGATCATCGATCTCCCGGTCTCCAGAGCAACAACACAATGAGGAATGTGGAATGTGTCGTTAACGTGGTGCTTACCGCCACCAACTGGAGCCATTATGTAATTGCACCGGGGAATGATTAACAAGTTGGAAAACGTGCTTGGCATGCCATGTTCCGTCATGAGAGCAAGCCACGTTGAGAAGGGCAATGTGCATGATGAGTGAGAAGGGAATGGTGTTGTAGCATTACAGGCCTGCCCTTTCCATGTGCAGATATGATGAAGCAGAACTCCATCGTGTCTCTCGACATATGAATACTGTACAAATGTATTGTTTTAGTCCAGAAACCATGTGGTATTCCACAAGGCCAGTGTTAATGACGAATGTGTTGAGTTTTTTTATTATTTTGTATTCGAACGCCCCAAAAAGAACCTTCCCTTATGTAATTACGGACGCGATCTGCAGCACCCGCTGGCACATCGGTTATGGTGACGCCAGGTGGCGTATTTGCCCCAACAAAGACCCGTGGGCTCTTCCGGAAATGAGTTTTTTTGGAAACGTCATCATCGGTCATGGTCAATCCACTGCTTGCTGGATGAAGGCCTCCACAAGTCGCCACATATCTCACGGCCCTGCCGTGCAACGGTCCACCCAGCGTGAACTCGTTTCACGAGTGGTTGGCTTCGTTTGTAGTTTCGCTAAGACACCACGAGGCAACACTTTTGCAAACGGGGGGACACTTGAACGGAGCGTTTTCGTTGCCTCACGTGGTATCCACAAGCTGCGGCTATTTGCCCGATTAATTCCATTGTCTGCTCAATTTAGTTCAGTGGAGACGGTGATGTACTGTATCTGACCGTGAGGAGATTGCCACGAGTTCCATCTTCACGTGGACCAGCAACGGTGCATTTTAAAATATAAAAAAACCTACAACTTTTGGGGAAAGAATGGAAGTGTGTGCAGAAACGGATGTCAATCAACTTAGACGAGTGGCAGATCTAGAAACCACCAAAGGGGTCAGACGGTACCGACATTTCAAACATTTAAATGAGGACCCTTACACCCCAAATCAATAAACATGCGATATATCTCACGTGGCGGATAGCAGTTTACAGTCAAACTGATTTTGAGAGTCTCGTGGTGGGGAGAGATTTATATTGAGAAAGAAGTGAGCGAAAGTCGTGTATTACGCCACCTGTGAGGTGAATAGGAAATCACTAATTGATGCATTCATGATGATGGGCAGAACAAAATAAACAAATCGTTCACGCGAGATCCCGTACAGGTTAGTTGGGCTCGCGAACACCTGGGGCACTTCGAACTGCATTGAGGTCGTGAAGGGGCTTTGTTGTTCCTGCTGCTGCTGCTGCTGGTGGGAGACACGGGCGAGGGATACAAGAGGAGAGGGCAGTCTGTTGTCGGCGGGGGGAGAGGAAGGAGCGGGGAGAGAGGTGGGAGCGAGTGCGGGGAGAGGGAGGGAGGAGAGAGAGGGGATAGAGGGGCAGGGAGAGAGGAAGGAGCGGGGAGAGGGAGGGAGCAGGGAGGAGGGGAGAGGGAGGAAGCAGGGAGGAGGGGAGAGAGGGGCAGGGAGAGAGGAAGGAGCGGGGAGAGAGGAGGGAGCAAGGAGGAGGGGAGAGGGAGGGAGCAGGGAGGAGGGGAGAGAGGGGACACAGGCGGTGGAGCTGCAGAAACACTGCCGGCTGGGCACCGAGCGCGTCGCCGGGACAGAGAGATGCCCGAGCGCCGTGCGGGGGAACCACCACCACCACCAGCAGCAGCACAAACAGTAGCAGCACAAACAGTAGCAGCAGCAGCACAAACAGCAGCAGCAGCACAAACAGTAGCAGCAGCACAAACAGTAGCAGTAGCAGCAACACAAACAGCAGCAGCAGCAGCACAAACAGCAGCAGCAGCACAAACAGTACCAGCAGCAGCACAAACAGTACCAGCAGCAGCACAAACAGTACCAGCAGCAGCACAAACAGTACCAGCAGCAGCACAAACAGTAGCAGCAGCAGCAACACAAACAGTAGCAGCAGCAGCACAAACAGTAGCAGCAGCAGCAACAACAACAACACGGGACACAGAGGCAGTACCATTCATAGCAGCAGCAACAGCAACAACAGGACAGGAAGAAAGAGAAACAGCAGCAGCATCAGAAATAGCAGCGGAAGCAGCAGCAGCTCTTAGAGAAGCTATAGAAGAAAGGACAGCCGCAGCAGCAGTCACAGAAGCAGCCGCAGTAGAGACAGCAGCAGAAGCAGCAGTCACAGAAGCAGCCGCAGCAGCAGTAGAGACAGCAGCCGCAGCAGTCACAGAAGCAGCAGCAGTAGAGACAGCAGCCGCAGCAGTCACAGAAGCAGCCGCAGCAGCAGTAGAGACAGCAGCAGAAGCAGAAGCAGCAGCAACAGCAGGCGGAGTGTGTCGGCGGACAGGCCGTTGCCATGGCATTCGCGGTGAACTACACGTCGGAGTGGTGGGTGTCGTGGCTGCACAGCTTCCCGCACGTGAGCTTCGGCTTCCAGCTGCTCCACAGCGACTTCCAGCCGCAGGCAGAGACCTACCTGCAGGTGAGGGCCGCCGGGAGCTCCCGTCGCCATGGTGACCCCGGTCACCGTGGTAACGCGACGAGCTCCCGTAACCATGGTCCACCGCTGACCCCGGTCACCGTGGTATGACTCAATGACCCCGGTAACTATGGTAACACGATGACCCGAGTAACTATGGTAATGCTGTGAGCAGGTTAACAGTGCAACCTGGCAAACCCTGATAGAATGGTAACTCGATGTCCCGATAGAATGGTAGCCGTGGTAACGTGTAAACCATGCTGCATGGTAATATAGAATTATTGGGTACCACGATCAGCTGGTGGTAGGGAATCGAGCTACCAGAACCCAGCTATCGTTGTTACCCTGTCAGCAGTATTAAACATGGTACTACGCTTACATGTTAACTTGGTAACCATAATACTCTGGTAACCCTGCCCATTGAGCAATCCTGGTACGACGGTTATGGGATAATCATGGGAGTGCGGTAACGAATTAATGCTTGCCCTGCCAACCGAACAGCCCTGTTATCCCAGTAACCACGGTACCTGGCGTGGCACGAAGATGCGGGTGCTATGATAACCAGACCTGCCACTGCGATAATCCAGCAGCAGCTTTCATTTTCCGCCATTTCAGACCCCAGCTTTGGGCTGGACACCTGTCACAAAGAGCTCCATAGCCACTCGAGCTCATCAGCTTACATCAAATGTCTGTGCCTTGCTACTGGAGTAACTGTAACGCAGGTAAACATTGCGTCCTTCCAGCTCGCACGGTGCCCCTTGCTACCCGCTGTGTACACTGATACCACATTGCTACATTCTGCTATCTGGGTAGAGTGTGGTGTCACGCACGCACACACTCCAGAAGTGAACATGTCTCGTGTGCCATTGGCCCTTCTCACAAGGCACGTGGCTCAGCGGTAGAGCGAGCGGCTCGCAATCAGAAAGGGTTGACTCAGCCCATCATCACGACCACTGTGTGGAAGTCAACAGTGGTTGTTGCCTGGAGAGACTCACCTCCATCATTTGAAATATGGAATTTTCGCTTACTGACTCAGGGCTATAAACAGGATCCAAGCAAGGTCTCGATGCTATATTCTTGGTTCTTTCGGTAAAGTCAGCTCTCGTCCCCCGCCCACTCACTTTGGAAACCCTTTATAAGCAGTTGCATTTGAAGACAGCTTGTGTTGCGATCGAAACGTCGTGGGTTTTTTGCTTTTATTATTTTCAATTTATTAATTTTAATTTTATTATTTCAAATTTGTATTTTCAATCTACGTGACTTTACCGAAATAACCAAGAATATGAATTCCTGCAGTCACAAACGTTTTAAGTCAAAATTTAACCATCTCGATGCTGATTTAAGAAAGAAACTCACCACACTCATACCAACGACACTTCCTTTAAAGAAAAATAAATAAATCGGTGACATTTCAGGCAATGGCCCTTCGTCACAGCAGATACCCCAGAAAGGCCATTGCCTCAATCATCGCCGGCGATATATTTGGCTGTGTTCTTGACAAGTGTGCTGAGTTGTTTTGGTAATTGTGCTTCTGCACCACTGCCAACGCAGCAACAGGGTCATCATCACGAAATAATTTGTTCAATTTGAGAAATAAATCGCTTAGACTTTTTTATATTTTACTTTTTTTGCGAAGGACGCCATCATGGTGGAAATTAAAAGAGGGCTTATGAGTAGGAGGCCCAAGGACGGCTAAAACGACGACTGTTGTATTCCCTTCAGCGCCTGTAGTTGAGCACGTTAGCTGTCCACGCAGAACTGCTGAGCTGCTGCTGGAGGACAGTCGCTGAATGGAACATTCATGCCGCAAAATGCCTCAATTACACCCGTCAACCTTTCTCACACGAGGCTACAAAGATGCTGAATTAGTATTTCCACCCATTCGGATTTTTCAGAAGTGAAAGGCCCGCCGCCTCGAAACAAACCCATCCGCTGAATTAATGTATTATCTCTAATTAAAGACGCGGAACATTTTCTGAAAATAGTATTGATAAATAATCTATTGCATGCAGCATTGAGCTGCTGTGTTAATGCACCACATGCCTCCAAAGAATACTATTGATCGTGTGTACTCAAAGGAGGATGCACACAAAAAATACGACTATTTTAGCTAAATTACATTTTGGAGTTATACGTCACCAGGCTTTTATGTTAGCATTGTTGAGAAGTGAAGCGTTGATGTCTCAATATGTGAAGACTGGCTCTGGGAAATGTGCATAATTCGATATAATTTTTCTTCGATACGATTGGCTATGGGCTGCGTGGCTATAATTGCACGACCATCTCGCATTGTGCATTACCTGTGCATCTTTATGCACCGACACATGGTATGAGCACATTCATGTAGATCACATGCTCACCGTGCAAACGGTTTAACTGGGAGAATACCATGTTGTCTTTAGACAAGTATGTTTTATGTTTATTTGATTTACTCAAGTTCCTAGCTTCCATAGATTCCACGCCATTGCACATGAGACAAGCCCTATTAGATGTGAATTTATGTATCTATTTGATGGGCTATAGGGTCGTGGTCGGGCTTGGGGTTACAGATTTAGTCTGCCTCATCCTTCTACCTCTGACAAAGTGCTATCTTGCCAATTTTCGCAACGCAAGCTGTGATATGCTATCCTCTTGCCACTGGGAGAAAGAAATTGCTACGAGGGTTTGTACACAATAATTACTGGTACTTCCATTTCATCGCTTCGTACAAGTGGACAGCACAGGAGTAAAGTGACCTGCGTGTTGGTTTTGTTGAACTCTCAGTGGCTAAGTAGAGGCCCGAAAGATTTTCGTGCAAAATAACCAGCAACAGCAACTACGGCACTTGGAACATCCAAAGCGAGCTCCTGCGTGATGATGCATGCAGTGCCCCTTCATATAGAATTGTGTACTGGTACAGCCCGTTTGTAAATCCACAGCTGGATGAGGGCCTCTGCATGCTGGTCAGTGCAGGATGGTGAACGCAAGGAGCATAGATGTAGTAGCATGGAAGTACAGTACAGTAATGGCTTTTGCTGCACCGCCCTCTGTTACCCTCCACGTAGCCAAGCTGCCCTATGACATCCGGTTTGAGTAGGGTGGTCATCCATCCAAGCATTATCCAGGCTCAACTTTGCTGAGCCTCCGAAGTCAGACGAGATCGGCGCTGTGCGGTTGATTTGGTCACGCCCTTTTACAGCTTTACCCACATTACAGATTACCAACCACACTTAAAGAGTTGGCTTATCTCTGCCAGCATTTGACATCATGGTGAAGCGGTGTAAAGCGGAGTATCAAATGGTGAATTACGGAGTGAAATGCACCAATCTTTGGTGCTCAATGTTGGGCTTGTTCGTGATTTAAATGGTTCGGTTTATTTCAAGCGGTAAGGCACTTTTGTGCGCGAGTGACGAGGGACGTCTTAAGCACGCTGTGATCATCTGGCATTGAGAGTGGGGCGAGATGTGAATGTTGACAACCGACCTAGGGGCCCCAAGGCATTGCCATGCAAGTCGTTCTGAGAATGAGGCCCCTCAGAGGGCATCTGCATGGATATGTTCACTTTGAAAACTGTATCTGAGAAGGGCCATTATACGGCTCGGTGTAGGTCATAAATGTTCTAAATAAAAAAAACGACGATAAAATCTAGCAGAGCACAGCCCTTTATTTGTTACAAGTGGGGAATGTCACAGTGCACTATTGGGATAACCCACAATTTTTAATGTATGAACCGTCTTTCTACCAAAAGAGATAATGACACATGCATTATTAAATAGCAGTTAATAAATAAGTAGTTTGTTTTACTACTTCAGAATGATTCTTGGCCAGTGCATGAATTACAATATAAAGGTATACAATACATTATGCTATGATGTGCTTATTGGCAAATGTTCATTTTTTGTCCAGTTTTTAGCCCAAAATGTGCTGACATTTTCAACACCAACAATGTGGTAACATTCCGGCAATGTGTTGCCACTGTTTTGTTAAGAAAGTGAATGTGGCTCATACAGAGCTCTCCTAACATTCCAGTTTTTTTGTGCACGTGTGTATTTAATATACACAATGCATGAAATGTTATATCGCCGTTATAAATGTCGTTTCATCTAAAAGGAGCATTCTACAAGGCATGCCGCTTCACATGGCATGGATTGGAAACAAGATCGCAGATGGTACACACATCGAGACATGTAAACAGACAAGGGACGTCAATTGAGAAGAGGTTTTCCCCTTTTTTCTGGCAACAAAATACTGTAGGTGTTAAGATGTTAAAACACCAAACTGAAACCTTTGACAAGGAATCATGTCTGCATTAACCACAAAACTTGTGATCAGAATGCAAACTAAAAACATACTCTGATAATATGATGCGTTGTCCTTGAAACTGATTGGTCCACAGCAGAGACAGCTTTCTTTTGAGCCTCATCTCAAACGGTGTTAGACCAGAAGACGCCAGAAGGCGTACAGCTGTATACCAGAGGACGCCAGAAGGCGTACAGCTGTATACCAGAGGACGCCAGAAGGTGTACAGCTGTATACCAGACGACGCCAAAAGGCATACAGCTGTATACCAGACGACGCCAGAAGGCGTACAGCTGTATACCAGAGGACGCCAGAAGGCGTACAGCTGTATAGCAGAGGACGCCAGAAGGTGTACAGCTGTATACCAGAGGACGCCAGAAGGCGTACAGCTGTATACCAGAGGACGCCAGAAGGCGTACAGCTGTATACCAGATGACGCCAGAAGGCGTACAGCTGTATACCAGAGGATGCCAGAAGGTGTACAACTGTATACCAGAGGACGCCAGAAGGCGTACAGCTGTATACCAGAGGACGCCAGAAGGTGTACAGCTGTATACCAGAGGACACCAGAAGGTGTACAGCTGTATACCAGACGACGCCAGAAGGCGTACAGCTGTATACCAGGCGACGCCAGAAGGCGTACAGCTGTATACCAGAGGACGCCAGAAGGCGTACAGCTGTATACCAGACGATGCCAGAAGGCGTACAGCTGTATACCAGAGGAC